TTCTTCTTTTGCATTGTTGCTATTCGCTCATTATCTTTCATTTTTTTTGAATTTTAAATCGTTTTTCGTAACTCAACATTCTTATTATTATAATCATTGAATTAATTGGCAAATAAATCTGTTTTACGTATTCATGATATCTACAGAAGATTGTACGCACTATTACATATATATTAATCAGCTCGCAAACAATGATGTTGATTATTTTTCAAAATTGTAACTTGATCAATTGTTCAGAAAAACTAGAAAGTCTGACATCTGTTATTCTTAATTGCTAAGGTCTGTAATGAGGGTCGTACGTTACTATGTGTCTGTAAGGGAAAGGGAGAGCCGCAAAAACTTGAATTTAAAACCTACATTCGCTAATCTTCTTTGAAAATATATGTGAGTTCCATAAAAACAAAGAACTAATAAAAAATAATTAACCTGGTGGTGATCGTAAACGCATAACAGCTTCAAATCCAATTTTTCTTTGTAAATATCGTCTTAAATCATTTTCAAAACGTTCAACTTCATTTGGTGTTTGAATAGAATGAAAACCTGGATAATATTTTACTTCACCACCTGAATATTTTGATATACAACCTAAAATAATTATTCATAAAAATATTTAAAAACAACTAAAAAGTTTTTCAATGATTTTTGACTACAGAAAGAAATATATGTAAGCTTCTAGATAAAGACTTTTACGAAAGGATTCAGTCCTTCGCCTATAATATAGAATCATCTTATTTCTAAGGCACGCTCAAAGGTTTCCGGAGAAGGAAGGAATGTCTCCGGGCGTCAAATTGCTTTTCGATCGAACAGTGTTTTATCTAGGATTTCTCCTTCGTGGGGGAAACACCCGAAACTTCGAGGAGCTAGCCAATAGTCTCGAAGAAGCAAAATATGCACTTCATGTGGCATATACTCTGAACGCCGAGGGGACGAACTCGATTTTTGGGGAGTGCCGAGCATCCCTCTGGACAAAACACTACGACCGAGACTATGTTCATTTGATGACTAATAGAAAAGTTTAGATTAGTTTAGTTTTTCGGACCTTCATTCTCAATGAGTTTAACTCATTGGGCAAATTCTCTCCTCAGATATTCAATATTGAGAACTTTGTTCATGGGAAGTTTGAAGTCAAAATTCGAACATTAACTTAACAGATGATCTGAGATGGATTACAGCTTTTTATTGAAAAATCTAGTAAAATTTCTATATTTCAAAAAAAAAAACGAAGACCTAGAAAATTAAACCATTCTAGATTTTTCTATTATTCTATCAATGAACATCATCTCGTTCGCAAAGCGATTGGACGTCTGGAGAGAGGTTCACTCACTAGTTCTCTGGCTTCGATACTCCTTTCTTTATTTAACAGTATATGTATTATTCAGTTCTACTGCATACTGTTGATGTGTTGCGATAGGTGACGCCACCTTCACCACGACGAAATTATCGTTACCTATCAACATACCAACAATACACACAGACATCATTTAATAGAGGACGTCTTTCTCTACAAGTGTACATATTATCCCGTTATGTAGTCAAAACTTTATAGCTGCTTTTCAAAAAAATAAATCAAGCATACTCAATGTTGTTAAATCAATAT